CCCCAAAACCCCAAAACCCCAAAACCCCTTTTTAGTAGTGAATATTGAAGAGTTAGACAATTTAGATGGGGTTGTTAATGGAATTTTTGTAGGAGAGGAAGTTTAGAGAATGTCTTCGTTGTCTTTGTCCAGGTATTTTTCCTGGAGGTCGTCGGCAGCCTCGAAGCTCATGTACTCGATGATCTTGTCGTATTCGAGCCTTTGTTCGAGGTCGGAGTATCTATCTGCATAGTTAAATCCGGTGGCTTTGTCTGCCAGTGCGATTATGTATGCCATGTACTTTTTATCAGTCAGATCGAATGGGACTAAGGAGACACTGGAATAATCTTCAATTATTTCAGCAATAGAGCTGTTGAGTCCCTTGTATTTAAGAAAGAAACCTTTCTTTATGGATTCGTATTCATTTTCTGCACCTTTGCCGAGTCTTTCCAGACGGACCTTTTCTGCATTCTCTTCAGACATTAGAATGTACTTTAGACCTTCAGTGTTTAAGAAATCATTTAATCTAAATCTTAGCCGAGGGAAGTCAGCTAGAAGGTTTATCTTGTTCAAAACATGTATCATTGGCATCTCCATGCCAATAGAAGCATTCATACATAGAAGCACAGTTGAGATAAACTTTGTAGCGTCTGTCAGGCAGATGCCATCAACAATATGAATAGCTGCCAGATTAATCTTCCCTGACTTAGTTAATTTCTGAATAATATTCCGTAAAGAGAAATGGTTAGTATACAGCTCTATTTGGCCAGGAAGATCAAAAATGAGATATTTATTGCCTAAACTTTTGATTCTCTCCTCGAACCATTCATAATTCTCTTCAAGAAATTCCATTCAGAAGGTAAGGCCTCCATTAGGACCCAGCTTGTGCTCTTGCATGACATCTTCTAAGGTAATTAACTCGTTGATATCTAACCCGATCTTCTCTTCGCTATGAAATTCAATAAATCATTCCATATTTTTGACCAAGAAACGAGATTTCCATGAACAGCTTACCTGTAAGGCATATTTTCATTAGCTGGGTCTAAGTTTATGATGGTATATTCTCTTCTCACTGCTGTTAGGTACTGCTCAACGGCAAATCAATATGTTGTCTTTCCACTACCAGGAGCTCCGATGACAAACTGGCCAAAAGTAATCTCTTCCATGCTGTTTATCAATATTTTTACTAATTTCTATCATTTTAGCTGAAATTGGGGTTTTGGGGTTTTGGGGTTTTGGGGTTTTGGGG